ATGACTTACTACTAGCTTCTAATAATGGGCAAGTGTCAGTGTTGGTCCTACTGGACCTTAGAGCTGCATTTGACACAATAGACCACAGCATTCTACTGCGGAGGCTAGAATGTGATATAGGTCTCACCCTTGGCTGGTTTGAATCCTATTTATCGGATCGGTAGCACTTTGTCAATGTGAATCAAAACTCGTCACCCTACTCTAGAGTGGAATTCGGTGTGCCCCAGGGATCGGTACTCGGACCGATTCTTTCCACATTCTATATGCTACCGTTAGGGAACATCTTAAAAAAGCATGGAATTAATTTCCACTGCTGCAGACACTGCAGATGACACACAGCTTTATCTGTCGATGAAACAAAATCAGACGGGTCAGTTGAAAAGGCTTAGTGCCTGCTAGGGGTGTGACGATACTTTCTCCCGCGATTCGATTATCGATATGCATTTGCCAAGTATCAATATCGATTTTGAAAAAAAAAAAAAAAAAAAAACATTTTTTTTTTTTTTTTGAATTGGCATCAATACTTAATATATGGCTACATTACGCATCTCCATTCTATTAACCATGAAATCAAGAGGTTTTTTTTCTTTTATTTATGCCATAAATTGGCATATTGTATATTTCTGACCAATAAATCAATAATCGTCATATCGTGATAAAATTGTTATCGTAATATCGTTATCGTGATATTATCGTTATCGTGAGCTTTGTATTGTGTATCATATTGTATCGTGAGGTACCCTTAGGTTCCCACCCCTAGTGCCTGCATAAAGGACCTTAAAACGTGGATGACTCTTAACTTTCTACTGCTTAATCCGGAGAAGACAGAAGTGATCCTACTCGGTCCAAAGAGCCTGCGTGACTCCCTCGCCGACCAGATAATCACTCTCGATAATGTCAGTATTGTACCCAGCAACACTGTGAGGAATCTTGGAGTCGTTTTTGACAACGAACTCTCCTTTAAGGCTCATATAAACCAAGCAACTAAAATGGCATATTTCCACTTGCGGAACATCGCTAAAATCAGGAATATCCTTCCTAAAATTGACACGGAAAGACTAATCCACGCCTTTGTAACCCCTAGGCTTAACTACTGTAACGCTTTGCTGGCAGCGTGCCCTAAAACCTCTTTGTAGACCTTCCAGCTGGTTCAAAATACAGCAGCAAAGATTTTAACAGGCACCAAAAGGAGGGAGCACATAACTCTGGTGTTAAAATCACTCCATGGCTTCCTGTGGAGTACAGAATAAAGTTCTTCTCTTGGCATACAAAGCCATAAATGGCTTGGCTCCCTCTTATCTTCAAGACATGTTAATAGCTGCGTTTCCATTGAATAATGCGCAAAAACTTTTTCGATACATTTCAAAATTCGAAAAACCTGTAATTCGCAAAAGCGGCCGTTTCCATTAAGACATATTCGAATAAGTTTACACTATTTTCGCGCGTTTATTCACTAGTTTCTAGTACGTCAACATGGCAACAGAAGTAAACAACACTTTGATTTACGTGAGATATATTAATGTCTTGACTTCTGCTGCGGCTCTCATCCTCTCTGACCCCGGGAGAAACTGTGGCTGCTTTGACAGCTCCGCGAACGCGCGTGGTCATGTACCGAGCGCGGACCATAGACGCGCGCACAGAACCATAGAGACGGGTCTTGCCTGTCTCCCCCGTCTCTCCCCCATGCCTCTCCCCAGTCTCTCCCCCATGCCTCTCCCCCGTCTCTCCCCCGTCTCTCCCCCATGCCTCTCCCCCGTCTCTTCCCCGTCTCTCCCCCATGCCTCTCCCCCGTCTCTTCCCCGTCTCTCCCCCATGCCTCTCCCCCATGCCTCTCTCCCGTCTCTTCCCCGTCTCTCCCCCATGCCTCTCCCACGTATCTCCCAAGTCTCCACACGAAGCGCAGCCAAAACTCACTGAATAAAGCTCAGCTCGGCTTCCTCCGCTATATCGAAATAAGTGTTTCCATTGCCGTTTTGCGAAAAACTTAATTTCGATACGTCCAAAAAACCACAGATTTTAAGCGCATTAACTTTTTATCGAAAAACTGTGGTTTATTTGAAATTTGCGCGTTTCCATTAGACATTTTATGATGCGCAAATTCAAATTTCGAAATTTGATGCTCAATGGAAACGCAGCTATTGTCTTATCACCCAAGACGAGCACTGCGCTCGCAAAACGCCTGATGTCTGGTGGTCCCTAAGGTTTCAAAAAGCACTGTCGGCGGCAGAGCATTTAGCTACCAAGCTCCTTTACAGTGGAATCAGCTCTCCATGCACGGTAAGGAAGCAGACATGGTCTCTACATTTAAGGCCAGGCTTAAAACACTCTTTTTCAACTTAGCATTTGGTTAGGTTGTTTTGTCCGGTCAGGTTTCGTCCGGTCTTGGAGTCTGCGTATATGGGACCCGGGCCGCTGCATCTTCAACCCTACGTTCTAGGCTAGGCTAAAACAGTCCTCTTTAGCATATGGCTAGGACGGTAAGACTCAGGGAAGGCTAAACTCCTTAGACTGTCAGTCAAGCTGCATAGGGAGTCAGTTTGCTGGGAGAAGTCTGGTAACTTGAGCACTATCCTCTCCTCCTTCCTACTTTATCTGTTTAGCATTATTAGGATTTTGACTGTAGTTTGTTCCTTGCTATTCACCCGTTGTCCCACTGTCTGTTTCATGCTGCGATAATGGGACTTCTGGGCCTTGCCTCCTCCATCTACACCTGCGAACTTCCCTGCCCGACCCGCCTGGGAGTTCTTCAGTCCTGTACCGGACCTGTACACGGTCAACGGCCACTGTTCCTCATTCTGTGGCTGGATCTATAGCCCGTCCGTCCGTGTCAGAGCGGATCCCTTTCTCAAACTATGGGTCTCCCCGAGGTTGCAGGAGGGTCTGCAGTTAGTGTCCAACTAGAAGGACTGTGGTGATGATCCAGGACACTTTAACATTCTACAACATGTATGGACATTTTTTAATGTGTTCTATATTCTTTATGTGTTTTAACTGTTGATTCTCTGATCTGTGTTGGTGATTTCAATGGTTTTGTTAAGTCCTTTGAGATGACTTCTGTTGTGATTTAGGGATATACAAGAATACAAGAAATTAATTGCATGCGACTTGGTACGACATGTGACTTTGCACGACATGTGACTTCGTATGACATGTGACTTTGTATGACATGTGACTTCCTACGACTTGTACAACATGTGACTTTCTACGACATGTGACTTCCTACGACTTCAGATTCAGATTCAGATTCATTTATTTGCCATTTGCAGTAAAACCACATTGGAAAAACTGTGCAAGACTACCCCTGTGTGCGCCAGACAGAGACGACACACACCAGAGCTCTTGCCACGGCGCCATTTTTCCGGCGCCATGCGACAAACAGTAGAATAAACAGCAGAGAGCAATAACATACAGGTTACAACAGACAGTTGGATAGAAAACATTGTGCTTTGTATAAACCACGGATTTTTTTTCTCGGGATGAGCACCTCCGCAGCCGGCCCAATGTGGCTGTCAGAGGGGGGCGGGGTCAGGGAAGGGGTAAGTCGGAAACACAGTGAGGAGGGGAGGGGAGGGAGAGATCAGAGGGAGGCGGGGGGAGCGGGATCCAAGCTGGAACTGACTGAAAGAGTGTGAAAAAGATTTATTATGATGGCCTTGGCCCGAGGAATGTGAGATAAGAGAGGAGGGAAGACACAGCAAGGAGAAAAACACGTCTTCCTGTAACAAGGGACAATCTAGTATGCATTTTAGCATTCAAAAACAGGCAGATATTCTATTAAATCCAATTAAACCGAATTGCGGCGCCCTCAAACCCCGTACACAGGGGCCAATCCAAGCCGGGTCAGAGAGTTCAAGCGTGACAAACAATGTCATTCAATCTCAATTCCAGAGTTTTATGCCCATCAAGTGAACGAGCTGCGAGATCTCTGATCAACTGTTCCACCAAAACCACTCTCCTTTGTCCAGACACGGCACTCTCAACCACGACTCGGTTAAGCTCCTTGTACATCCCATCAATTTTGTTGGCCAGCAGGTCGTGAATCTTGCGAACTGCCATGCCTCCGAATTTATGGTAGAATAGAACCGCTCCAAACCCAAACAGGAGGATCCCCACCACCAAAAAGCCAAAGATATATACGTCTTCCGAATCTTCAATGGACAGGGTCGACAGACAGAGGGGCTGCCACTTGTTCCAGCTGTCAAGCGTATACCCCGCTGGTGAAGTCCCGTCCGGGCACACGGGCTCTCCAGACCCACGCTTACGTGTTGAAAAGATAGAATCAATTGCGTTGAGGGACCAATTTACCATTTCCATTCTTGCTAAAAGTTGTCTGTGGCAAAACTCCAGGAAAAAGACAAAAACAGGAGATAGCAAGCAGTCATAAGCAGGAGCGTCTGAGACACGTCTTTGCTCGACGGAGGCGGAAGAGGAAGCCTTGTACAACATGTGACTTTCTACGACATGTGACTTCCTACGACATGTAACTTCCTACAACATGTGACTTTGTATGACATGTACGATATGTGACTTGGTATGAAATGTGACTTGGTACTTCAGGGGAGGTTTGGTTATTAAAGGAGAGGTTTGGTTCTTAAAGGGGAGGTTTCCCTCCCGCACAAAGAGTGACAGAAAAGCTTAGACTCTACTTTGATATGGACAAGAAGCTTTATATGCAGTCATAGGTACTCATATACAGAGACCAGAGAGAGACCAGAGAGAGACTAGAGAGAGACCAGAAAGACCAGAGAGAGACTAGAGAGAGACCAGAGAGACCAGAGAGAGACCAGAGAGAAACCAGAGAGAGACCAGAGAGAGACCAGAGAGAGACCAGAGAGGGACCAGAGAGGGACCAGAGAGAGACCCAGTGTGCATTAGTGTGCTGTACTCTCAGATCGTCTGCAGGTGATGAGGCCTGTGTCGCGTCGGAGCCTGTTGCCGTGGAAACATATTGACAGACCTGAATCCCCATCTTTTCCCCCGGCTCTTGGTGCCTAGTTACCATGGCAACACCCAGCATCTTCCCCACAGAACGCTGGAGTGTCACCACGGGCTCAGAGTCTCCCATTGTCTCCTCCACATGGTCTCCTCCACATGGTCTCCTGCCCACGGTCACATCCACACGGTCACGTCACCATGGTCACGTCCACACAGTCTCCTCCACACAGTCTCCTCCACATGGTCACGTTCACATAGTCACGTCCATATCAATCAATCAATCACATTTTATTTATAAAGCGCTTTTCATACAAAAGATGCAACACAAAGTGCTTTACAGTTTTGTTAAAAACAATCCCGCCGGCCCAAGACCCCTCCCCCAGACCACCCAACAGACCCACCCCAAACCACAGACAAACACACACACGCTCCCATGCACACTCATACACACACACCCACACACACACCAGTAAAACAATAAAACCATGATGAGAGACTTGGCAGGGTTCAGATGCAACCAGCTGAAAAAGCGTCATCCAAGGAGCCGTCTGCACCAGGAGCAGAGAGCTGCCCGTAGCCACAGGGGATGACACAGGACCCAGAGGAGACATGAAACCGAGGCCCCCACCAGGTCCAAGAGTCCGACCCCCGCAGCCACACCGACCACTGCTCCCAGTGCAGAGGGCTCCTCCAGAGGAAACACTGGGTAGACTAAAAACAATACAATAACAATACAATAAGTAAAACACTAAAATGTGAGACTAAAAGGAACTAACACACAATACATGAATAATAGCAACAGCAATATAATAAATAATAAATAATAAAAGATAAATAGAATGGAATAAAAAAAACGAATCAAAAGCTAATCTAAAAAAGTGTGTTTTGAGCCTTCTTTTAAAAATATGAACGTTCTCTGCGGCCCTGAGCAACTAGTCATGACCACATAGTCACGTCCACACGGTCACGTCCACACGGTCTCCTCCACATGGTCACGTCCACATGGTCACGTCCACATGGTCACGTCCACATGGTCACGTCCACAAGGTCACGTCCACATGGTCACGTCCACATGGTCACGTTCACATGGTCACGGTGGAGGTCACCATTTCTCACTGACTCAAATTCAAGAAGGAATTTACTGAATCTGAGAGACCAGAGAGAGTCCAGAGAGAGACCAGAGAGAGACCCATACTTAGCCCTCATATGCATATAGATGGGGTCCTTCTGACCATGTAATGCTAGTTCAGACCATGTGGGCCTCTGTAGCCGCTTGCTGGTCAAACCTCACGGCTCACGGTGGTTTCGTGTGATTGCTCAGTCAGTTCAAAGGCCGGTCCACCAGGAGAGCCCTTGGATCCTTTCAGACCGGCTCAGACCTGCTCAAGTCCATCAGCCCGGATTTCACGGCCACAGGCTCCGGTCCAACTCAGACTCAGGATTTAAAGAAGAAATGACAAATGTTTAATGAAACTTCCAAATGAGCAGGAGAAGTTTATTGGTATAGCACAGGTACAGGCATACACAGCATCAACAATAAACAATAGTTGATTAAACATAGGAGAAGAAGAAGCCTGCCTCACGTGTTCAGGAAGACTGTTCTAGGTTTGTTTTTCTTTTAGGGCCAACAGTTGGTAGAGCATTGGTCTTTGGGCCTAAAGGTTGTGGGTTCGATCCCCACTAGAGCTACTCCAACTGCTCCCACTCATGTTTGCTGTCCTTGTTTCCTTGGGCAAGGCACTTAACCCCACTTTGCCCGAAGCCCCCCTGAAAGACTACGGCTGAGTCACCGCTGAGGACCCTCCCCTGCAGAGGATCACAGGGACTGTGGACCCTCCCCTGCAGAGGATCACAGGGACTGGTGCTGTGAGGTCCCCCCCCCGACCCAGAAATGGACTAATAAAGGGGAAGAATATGAATGAATGTTACAGATTTTAGCATAAAGCTAAATATATACATATTATTTACATGTACTGTATAGCAGAAGGCCAGACCATGTGCTTCTCAGAGTCCCAGCAGGAGGCCAGTCCCTGTGCTCCTCACATCTCCATCACAGCTCAATGAGATTCAGTCCAGGGTCTACAGCCTCAGTCCTGGGTCTACAGCCTCAGGCCTTTGTCCCGTGCCTTTTGTGTACAGGACAGAAGCGTGATCTCCCCCAGCCTCGTCACAAACACCCAAATTCCACTGTGGTCAGGGCGGCCGTGGGGGAGGGGGTTTGGGGCAGAGGGGGACATGGGGGAGGGGGAGAGGGGGAGATGGGAGGGTGGAGGGCAGAGGTAGCTTGTACCGCTCTAGGATTTTGCTGCTAATCTGTTTGGCTCAAGGAGCGGGTTTAAAGCTGCGCGGAGGAGAAAGGCGCCAACCTGGCAACCCCAGACTCCACTAAGAACTAAGCAGTTTTCATTTTAATTTGGTTGAATCTCATAAGCACCTCCTCACTAATTCCAGAGAGAGACCAGAGAGAGACCAGAGAGAGACAAGAGGGAGACCAGAGAGAGACCAAAGACCAGAGAGAGACCAGAGGGAGACCAGAAAGAGACCAGAGAGAGACCAGAGAGAGACCAGAGAGAGAGACCAGATAGAGACCAGAGAATTCAGAGAGAGACCAGAGAGAGACCAGAAAGAGATCCGAGAGACCAGAGAGAGACCAGAGAAAGACCAGAGAGAGATCCGAGAGAGAGAGAGAGAGAGACCAGAGAGAGACCAGAGAAAGACCAGAGAGAGATCCGAGAGAGCCCAGAGAGACCAGAGAGACCAAAGAGACCAGAGAGAGGGACCAGAGAGAGAGACCAGAGAGAAAGACCAGAGAGACCAAAGAAAGACCAGAGAAAGACCAGAGAGAGACCAGAGATAGAGAACAGAGAGAGAGACCAGAGAGAGTGTGGGTATGTGGTGGGAAAAGCCACAGGGAGAGGGGGGTTTGTTTGTCCAGCTCGATGCATTAGTGGCTGCACTTCCGTTGCCAGAGGAGACTGCAGGCGCAGGGCCGTGCATGTCAACGAGACCTCCTCCTCAGGCCACTTTATTTGTATAGAACATTTCACAGAAACAAAGGAACAAAGCAAGATCATACAAGACTTGAACATCATCAATAATTACAAAACATTAAAGAGAGTGAAGATAAAATCAGGCCAGTCCCTGTGCTCCTCAGGGTCCCTGCAGGAGGCCAGTCCCTGTGTTCCTCAGAGTCCCATCAGGAGGCCAGTCTCTCTGCTCCTCAGAGTCCCAGCAGGAGGCCAGTCCCTGTGCTCCTCAAAGTCCCAGCAGGAGGCCAGTCCCTGTGCTCCTCAGAGTCCCAGCAGGAGGCCAGTCCCTGTGCTCCTCAGATGTACTTTGGTACGAGACCAAGGAGATACTTGTAACAAATAGAGACCAGCAGAGACCAGGACTAATGTGAGAGGACTTCAGGACAGAGACCTGAGACCAGGACTAATGTGAGAGGACTTCAAGGACAGAGACCTGCAGGACAGAGACCTGAGACCAGGACTAATGTGAGAGGAGAATAGTGTCAGTCTGTGGTGGGGTCTAAAGCCAGAGTGGAACACATTAAATGAGTTGATGATAATAAGAACCAACAACCACTCTAACAGCTAATTTACACAGTAGGCTTTAACAGCACGTAAGCGTTGACTGCGTGCATATGCGCGTAACATTACTCGGCTGTATGTCCACTGGCCGTGCACGCAGGTCCGCGGCTTTTGAAGCTGTCCCTGTGTAGTCTAAGGAGAAGTGTAGAGGACAGTACGGGCCAGAGGACTGATGTAGAGCAACGCAAATCACATAATAATAATGCCAGTATTTCGCCTTGAATTTGCAAACCAGTTCACTTGTGTTTTCATTCTTCTACCAACACAGAGTCACAAAATACACAGAAATACACATGTTAATTACAATCACCTGTATCTAAACCATCAAAGTCTGTGCATACAAAGTAACTGCAAAATGTCCATAAAACTGTGACATCACTGCAGCGGCTGGTACAGGCCCATAAAGTGTATTGGAGGAGATTGCAGGTTTTTGCTTTATTCTATTCTATGTTCGCTCTATGGTTTCCCTCTGGTCTCTCTCTGGTCGTTCTCTGATCTCTTCCTCTGGTCTTTCCCTCTGGTCTCTCTCTGGTCTCTCTCTCTGGTCTCTCTCTGGTCTCTCTTTGGTAGAAACAGGTGTATTTTGTTCAGAATTCATAATATTTGGTCAAAAGCTAAAGTTTCTTTAATGATCTGTGTTTGTGAGTTTCACATGTAAAGGTCACTGATATCATTAGCTTTGACTTATCGGAGTCTGAGACCAGAGCGAGACCAGAGAGGGACCAGAGCGAGACCAGAGAGAGACCAGAGAGAGACCAGAGAGAGACCAGACAGCAGACAGACCCACAGTCTGAAATTCACAAATTCATTGATTTTCCTTGCCGCAGATCGCTGTGTGTCGCTCCATCTGCCAACGGGGCAGACCAGGAGAGGGGTGGACTCTGTCTGACCTCTCTCTCTGGTCCCTCTCTGGTCTCTCTGGTCTCTCTCTCTGGTCCCTCTCTCTGGTCTCTCTCTGGTCTCTCCCTGGTCCCTCTCTCTGGTCTATCTCTCTGGTCCCTCTATCTGGTCTCTCTCTGGTTTCTTTCTCTGGTCTCTCTCTGGTCTGTCTCTGGTCCATCTCTCTGGTCTCTCTCTGGTCTGTCTCTGGTCCATATCTCTGGTCCATCTCTCTGGTCCATCTCTGGTCTCTCTCTCTGGCCTCTCTCTGGTCTCTCTCTGGTCCCTCTTTAGTCTGTCTCTGGTCTCTCAGACTCTGACTCCGCCCACTCGCTGTCACTCATCCTCCCACGCCGCACTTGACCGTTCACCTCGGCCCACGCCACTTAACCACAGACATCACCATGAACCACGAGGTCAGGAAACTCTGTATGTCCTCTCTCTCCTCTCTCTCCTCGCTCTTCTCTCTCTCCTCTCTCTCCTCTCTCTCCTCTCTCTCCTCTCTCTCCTCTCTCTCCTTTCCTACTGGACCTTAGTGCTGCATTTGACACAATAGACCACAGCATTCTACAGTGGAGGCTAGAATGTGATATAGGTCTTAGAGGAACAGCCCTTGGCTGGTTTAATACCTATTTATCGGATCGGTATCACTTTGTCAATGTGAATCAAAACTAGTCACCCTACTCCAGAGTGGAATTCTGTGTGCCCCAGGGATTGGTGCTCTGACCGATTCTTTTCACTATCTACCTGCTGCCGTTAGGAAACATCATTAAAAAGCATGGAATTAACTTCCACTGCTACGCACATAGATACACAGCTTTACCTGTCGATGAAACCAAATCAGACGGATCAGTTGAAAAGGCTCAGTGCCTGCATAAAGGACCTTAAAACGTGAATGACTCTTAACTTCCTATTGCTTAATCCGGAGAAGACAGAAGTGATCCTACTCGGTCCAAAGAGTCTGAGTGACTCCCTCGCCGACCAGATAATCACTCTCGATAATGTCAGTATTGTACCCAGCAACACTGTGAGGAATCTTGGAGTCGTCTTTGACGAAGAACTCTCCTTCAAGGCCTATACGTATAAGCCAAGCAACTATAACGGCGTACTTCCATTTGCGGAACATCGCTAAAATCAGGAATGTCCTAAAAGTGACGCGGAAAAACTGATCCACGCTTTTGTCACTTCAAGGCTTGACTACTGTAACGCTTTATTGGTAGCATGCCCTAAAACCTCTTTAAAGAGCTTCCATCTCGTTCAGAATACAGCAGCTAGGATCTTAACAGGTACCAAAAGGAGGGAGCACATAACTCCGGTGTTAAAATCACTCCACTGGCTCCCTGGGGAGTACAGAATAACGTTTAAAATCCTTCTTTTAACATACAAAGCCATAAATGGCTTTGCTCCTTCTTATCTTCAAGACACATTAGTGTCATATCAACCAAGCCCAGCACTGAGCTCGCAAAACGCCAGACATCTAGTGGTCTCTAAGGTCTCAAAAAGCACTGTCGGTGGCAGAGCATTTAGCTACCAAGCTCCTTCACTGTGGAATCAGCTTCCCATTTATGTTAAGAAAGCAGATACGGTCTCCACATTCAAGGCCAGGCTGAAAACACTCTACTTTAATTTAGCAAATGGTTAGGTTGTTTGTCTAGTTTGGTATGGTCTAGTTGTCCCATTGTCTGTTTCATGGCGCAACAACGGGACCTCTGAACCTGGCCTCCTCCATCTACACCTGCGGACTGCCCTGCCCGATTCGCCTGGGAGCGCTTCAGTCCTGTACCGGACCTGTTCACGCTTTGCGGCCGCTGCGTGACATTGGTCCTCGTTCTGTTGCTTAGGTCCTAGATCATTAGCCCGTCCGTCCGTGTTGGAGCAGATCCCTTTCTCAAATGTGGGTCTCCCCGAGGTTTTTCACTTTTTTTTCCCACTGGGTTTTCTTATGAGTTTTTCCTTGCCGATGCAGGAGGGTCTGTTGGGCAGTTAGT